TGTTCTTTTTGCGGATACAGACTAACACGGCTGCTACTCTGAAGCCCATTTCTAAGTTACTTCAAATAGAAAAATCTCTATAACTGCTCACGTGAGAGAGCTGAGTGAGACCAAAAAAGTTAACTTTGTTTCTCAGATTGTGCACATGTAACAACTGAAGATGAAAAGATATTACAGGGAGTTTTTGCTGATCTTCAGGATTTATAAAGCACCCATTATTTTGGTCTTTTCACTTCTAACTTTTTTCGTTATTAGAAAATGTTGCTAGAATGCTGAGCCATCTGAACAATAACAGTTACCCGAACATGTGTACCTTTTATCTACTCAAGTGTTGGAGAATAGTACAGATATTACATGTTCCCAGGTTTTACTTTCTTTCTGAGCCTTTAGCCAAAGGAAATTGACTATGTCTACGCTTGAAAAATTTATAAAATATTTCCCCTAGTAATTTTAACACAGTTTCATTTGAACCATTGGGACCCAAGGCTTCCATGGGTGGACCTGTTTTTACTATTGTTTTAGTTAACCCTATTAAAAAGTAAGCCTAATTGAAGGGGGTAGAAAACATGGGTCCAGACATAAGTCTTATCTACATTAGAGTTCCTACCAACTTTAACTGTGGTTCAGTTGAACTAGTGTTACAGCTCCTGGTGGGGACTCTTTAAAATTTCCCCACTGCACACCGGATTTCAGGGCCTGATCCTGCAAGCACTTACATGTAGTCAGTGGAACTTCTCGCATGCACAAAGCTACGCACATGTTTGTGGGACTGAGTTCTACATTAGCAAAGTAAAACAAGTGCAGTCAGCTGTTCATGTTCAACATATAATTTTTTCCTCTTAAAAAGTTGTACTAAATCTGTGTTGTCAGCCACAAGCCTGGAGAAAAAGGCCCCCAAAACCATGAGATTTTTAAAAAAAAAAAGAAGTTTTTAATTTGACTTTGGGTTTCAGCCTTCATGTTCATATTTGAGCCTTTATGTTAATGCAGTTCCACTTCTAAGTGTTTTTCTTCAACAAGGAGGGTTAAACTCTTTCTTTAAAAATGTATAGTCTCACATAATCACATGAATCCAGCAGTTGGGACTTTAAAAATAAAGCAATCTAAACACCACACCTTCCCCCCCCCAAATATTGGGAGCATTTCAATAAAATTGCAAAAGTTGGCTATGCTGATAGATGAATCTGACCACTGTATCTTACTTCATGTCTACAAAAATAAACAGAGGTGGTCTTGTTTCTTAAACAGGACACCAAGTTAGGGAGAAATTGCTGTGATAAATTGCAGTTTTTACTCTGAATATTACCAAATACCGTCAACTTCTTTTAAAAGTTTGTTTTGTAAACTAACCATGTTTAATTCCTGTTGGAATTTATTTAATCTATTCAGGCAAACATACTGATGTGGGATTTATTAATCCTAGTTTGAAAAACAGTAAGCTATAGGTAGTATTCATAGTTTTTTCCTTCAAATTGTAAACAAATTGCAGAGAATGATCAATCTGAATAGCAATCCCTGAACGCTCAAAAGCAACTTTTAAAGTATTTAACAACTGCATAATACTCTCGAAATCCTATTAAAGGATTGTGACATTTCAGAAGCTTTCAAACATGTCTTCCAGGGAAGATTATTCAGCAGTATTTAGAAAATTGAAAGTGAAAGTGAGATTCAGATATGGAGATTTAGACTGTTGTTCTGTAGACCTAGCCTGAATATGGAGAAGCAGTTTTCCTTAGGCACTAACAGCTGCTTGAATATTTATCTATCTTATCTAGTTAAAGCAGACTGGTGGTCAGCTAAGATTACAGTATTAGGAGTAGTACAAAATTGTGTTCCTATAGTTTTGTTGTCGTAGCTGAGATTTGAAAAATACCTCAGAAAATTACAGTTTTAAAGTTTTGATTTCAAGGGAAGAATTCTGGTTTACAGTTTAATGATTTCGTTGCTTTTCAGTGGGCTATTTTTGCAATTTGTAATCAATACTTATTATTTTTTGTTATTACCAGTGTTCTAATAGAGTTCAGTCATGACATTGACTACCCCTGTATTTTAAAATAAGTGGTTTTCCTTGTCAAGCGTTGTCTATCCAAATTACTCCTTTCTGAAACAGCTGTTAGTGGCTCTGGATATCCTAGGAAAAGGAAGTCTCTTTGACATACATTTTGATCCTACATTTTTCATAATTTCTCTCTGCTTAATGTTTCAACTCTAACAAGAATTGCACTTGCCCTAACACATCATGTATTTATATAAAGCAAAACCTAATAGCTTATCAAGCAAAACTCTTGAATATTTTATTGGTGAGTAAATAATAGAATGAAAGAGCTAATACTTATTTTTTTTTAAATGTATTCTGTCTGTGTGCAGTTTTAATCAACGTTGGTACATGAGTAACACCTTGCATTTCTGCGGCATCTTCCTCCTGAAGAATATCAAAGCACTTCAAAATTTTGTTCCAGATTCTGCTCTTGGATCTGCACATGTGGACCCTGGTGTTGAGCTCCATTGTCTCCATGAGTGCTCCCTGTGCAGGGACTGTCAGCATGGATCCAGTTACACAGCTGGGACCATACACTGATTCAGAGTAGATGTAGGGCGCTACATTAACCACTGAAATGCAGTCACCTCTCTGAAGCATGACAGCTTTTAACGCACATAGGAACACTATGCAACAGATTAAGTTGGGAGACTGAGAGAAGCTGAATATTGTAATTTAGTTGGGATGCTTTGATTCGCATAATTGAGTGATTAAAATCCTTTAATTTGGTACTTATTAAATAAATTGTGAAACTGCTATGGTATTGGCAAAATAGCATAATCTTGCTGATGACTGTAGTGTTTGTTCTTGTCTCGTTGCCTAGACCATGATAAGATGTTTAAAATGAGTGAGAAGATCTTGCTGTTGTGTGTGGGGGAAGCTGGAGACACTGTGCAGTTTGCAGAGTACATCCAGAAAAATGTTCAGCTCTATAAAATGAGAAATGGTAAGTACAAAACCAGAACTCAAAACAGCTCCTTACTGGGTTTGTTTTAAAGTGTAGTAAGAACAAGAGGTCATGTTTTATAATTATATGAATGAGAGCTAATATGCCTGCATGTTATTAGAGGCTCAGTATCCTTGATACTGAGAGTTGAAAGGACAGCTGGAAATCGTGTGTTTTAATAAAATATATTTGTGAGTATTACACTGTCCCTTAGTGACCATGCCAGTTTACATGTGGGTTTACAGTTTATTGCTAACCTTTTTTAAAAAGACCTTTCCTGTTGCTGTGTGAAGAGTTGGCACAAACAGGAAAAACTAATAAATAGATTCTCTACAAGGGAAACAGTAAAACTTGTATAAAAAGTACTGTGAAATGTACTAATTTTTTTAGGTTTAGTAATTTTAGGAGTTGCTTCTAACAAGTAGTTCAAAAATATTCAGACCCAAGGGGTGAGTCTTAATAAAGTTGTTGTCCCTTTAAAGATAACTATTAGATTATTTCAGGTTGGTGTTTGGGGGGGGGCTACACTTAATTTTCTTAGTCTGTCTAGTTTGTGGGTTTCTGCCTTTTACGGGCTCAGGTAAATATGGTGATGAGGGCAGGATATAGGTAGTTAGGGGCTTGAATACTTGGCATTGAATCCACCCAAGTTTATATATTCATAAAAAGTTAATTCCTGCTGAATGAATATATATATATATAATATGAATGTCTCTGTTTTGATTTCAATAATTCATTTCCCTTCCCTATCAACAATATGCCCCAGTATAATTACATACCAGAATTGGTACTCTTTGGTCTGTACAAAACAGGGAGGATAGCCTAGCTGTTAGAAAGGGGAGGACAGGAAAACCGGACTCCAGGTATCTATTGCTAGTTCTGATCTGAGTTGATTTTTGAGCAAGTCATCTGACCTCTCTGCCTCAATTTCTCCAAAATTTCAATTTCTGTAAAAAGAGAAGATAATGCTTCACTCAGGAGAGTACTGCAACTAGTTTGCAGAGCACTTCTGAGATCACCTAGTGAAATATGCTATATACAATTCATTGTAAAATTTTTCCTCCTGCCTTTTGCAAGCACTGATTACCTCCCTGTGGTGTGTTCAAATCTCTAATCAGATTTGTACCGACTTGATAGTGACCTATTTAAAAAGAGCAGTTTGGCCTTATGGTCTTTCAGCTTTCTGAATTTCTAGAGTGACTGCAAATGTTTGAACTCTTAATTAAATGATCTTTGGTTCACGTATACTCAGTATATAGATGAGTCGGTACTGAATTGTAAAGGTATTTGTGTTGTGTATTTTGGTGAAATGCACTGTTTATAACTCTATGAAGCAATAGATTGAGCACCTTATGTCATCGCTTAAAAAAAAAAACAACCTACGATTACTAGAAAAAACTTTTATCCTTTAGGGCAGGTTAAAGGTTCTGATGACAGTAGGATATCCTGTAATAACTTGCTCTGCTCTCCTTAGCATTAGGCATTTGATGAAGTGTCTTGTATTATTTATGGAAGCCATCAGTCTTTTGGTTCTTTATTCATAGTTACAGGTGGTAGAACTTTTAGCATCCTTTCCTGAGTCTCTTTCCTGTACACTAACTAAAATGGAATTACACATCTAAAGGATTGTTTTTACCAAAAAAAAAAAAAAAGATTCAGCATTAGTTTCGGAATTCTCTCCTATTTCACAATCTTGCCAGTGGGGCAAGAGCCTTCTCTTCTGCAGTCCAGGCCTTTGAAGGTACTCTCCACTGGAATAAAAGACCTGTGGCTGGCCTGGGTCAGCTGACTTAGGCTCGGAGGGCTTGGGCTGCGGGGCTAAAAATTGACAGATCCCAGAGCTCGGGCTTCAGCTCGAGCTGGAACATCTACATAGCAATTTTATAGCCCCACAGTCCGAGTCAGCTGACCTGGGTCAGCTGTGAATGGTTAATTGCTGTGTAGGCATACCCTGTGATTTAGAGAAATGCAGGAACTTTCCATCTGTCTTCAAATCCTGGGTGAAAAACATCTTCTCTATTCCTCTGCGTCTCTCCTATTTAACTCCATGCCATTTTTGGGATACAGTTTGTGTGAAAAAATATTCGGAATACAGATGTGTAATATTCTGCACTTTTCTAGGGCTTTGTATTTTGAAACCCTGTACAGATATGAGTAATTTGAATCCTTAGCCACCCTATTGATATAGGTCAGTATAATTATTCACAGTTAACATAGGGAAAATGTAGACCGAGGTAAAGGGAACACAGTAAATGGGTTGTCAGAGCCAGAATAGGAACTTGGAATTGCCCTCAATCATGTTGCCTTTCTGTTTTATTATGAAACAAATAGTGAAAGTAAATCAGTAAGAATGATGCATTTGCACTCCAGTTTCCTCATAAATGCATTTTTTTCTTATATCAGGGTATGAGTTGTCTCCTACTGCAGCAGCAAACTTTACACGCAGAAACTTGGCCGACTACCTACGCAGTCGGGTAAGTAATAACTGAGGTATACTAGCAATGACTGGAGTTACTAAGGCCTTCTCGCAAAAATCAAACGATATGTTTGCCCTTTTCCCTCCCTACGTCCCTTCCTACTGCAACAGCTTTTTTTTCTCAGCAATATTTTTTTCCCTCGGGCTCACAATTTAAACATGTGCTTACACATGACTGAATGCTCCAGGGCAGAAAACACAAAATAAAAATGAAAATAACATGTGACTGGCCAAGTTTGTCTCTCTTCTTCTGAAACAAGCAAATGATTTGAGTATGGTCTGAGTTAATGAAGCCACAGACTCCCCGTAGTGAGGAACTGAGACCCTTGAGAGCAATCAGGTTTTGTTGCTACAAAAGGGGTGGAGAAGGCATTTCCCTTTCGTGTCAGTTTTATATAGTTCTCTTTCACTTCGTAATTCCATGCTCTCGTCTTACGCTTGGTGCAGATCATTTTAGCAATTTCGCATTTAGCGTCACTAGATTTTTACTTCAGTTGCTTGATGTAACTTGTGTATAGTCAAACCTGATTTTTTCTTAAACCCAAATTTCTGAAATGCCTTTTCTGAAAAATATAAACCTCACAAAGTACCTTAAAAACTACTGCTATTATGAGATACATGTGTTAAGATCCACCCTGGTGGTTCCTGTATCTTAATTATACTACCGTGCTATATTATGCCCTAAATAATTTCAGTGGTATGAATAAAGAATTACTGTACAACAGTAGTGCCTCCTGTTGTCCATCTTTGTCTGCTTGTGTTAATTGTTTCATGTTCTCTTTTTAACAAACCCCTATTGGTTTGGGGACCCTGGAGACATTTGGCAAATTAAGGTTCTCCTGAATTACTAGTTAAATAATAGTTACAATAACATTGTGTTCAGTTTTAAGGAGATGACATTGACAACTATTCTATTTTCTGTAAAATGTTACCTGTGAAAGGACTTTTACCTATTTTTATAATAGGCTTGTTTGTGTTTTCATGTTAAGGACATTAAAAACGTTAAGTACACCTCTACCTCGATACAACGCTGTCCTTGGGAGCCAAAAAATCTTACCGCGTTATAGGTGAGACTGTTATATCGAATTTGCTTTGATCCACCAGAGTGCGCAGTCCCCTCCCTCCCCACCCCCTGCCCCGGAGCGCTGCTTTACCGTGTTATATCCGAATTCGTGTTATATCGGGTCGCGTTATATCGGGATAGAGGTGTATCATTTAATATCTTTCCCCAGATAGCTACTCTGTTAGCCCTGCTACTATTCATTTTAATTATCTATATCCATGTATTTCCAAATGGAAAATGGATAGAAGCAATATAAGAGGGGGGAAGTTTTCAACCTGTGAAAAACTTCAGATTTTGTTTTGATCATGATCTGATTAATTGTCTTCAAAGCGTGGCATAGAAGTTGGGATATGGCCCAGAATCCAGGGTCTTGGTGAAGACCAAATGTCCGCTAACTACCCACTATGAATTACTGGGGAATAACTTTCACTTGCAGATGGATGAACTCTGTAATCGAGAGGTCTCTGTGGGTTTTTCCTCATCAAAGTGGTCTGTTTTATGGAAATTGTAAGCTATGGTTTGCTTTTTTTTTCTTGTTAAAGTGCCTATCACCTCACTTATTGGAAACTAATACAGTTACAGTGTTAAGATTCCAGCTTTGGGCCCAGTAAACATTTTGTCATAAATACCAGACAGCTAAGTGAATTAAGCCCCTTTAAAATCGAGATAAGGCAATCACTTCTCATGCAAATACATTGAATCCGTTTAATCTTCTCCTAAAATGATTTAATAGAGCAAAGCTATTTGATGTACTTAGCAAAACAAGCCCCTTTTGTAAACAGAGACATGAAGCTTTCAGTAAATATCAAAACCAAGTTGAAGCTGTTTTTTCAAATTAGCAGAGTGTAATGACTGACTGACTTAAGGTAATATTTCAAAGCATTGCTAATAAATGCGGTCTTCTCATTCATCATTCAGATGCCTTATATAAGTGCCCTTTGATGCTTGGCAGTTATAGTGAGGAAGTCAGGATTTCTGGGTTCTACACTTGCAGTTGGCTTGCCATGTGACATGTTTAAGGTCAAATATCCACACTTTTCCCCAGTTGTAAAATGGGTATTGGGTAGAAATATGTAATCCTTGGGTACCTCACAAGGAGAGGAGGCTTAATTCACTGCTTATAAAGTGCTATAAAATTCTTCGCTGGAAGTTGTTACAGAAAGACAAAGTGGTATCTAAATATACAAGTTTAAGGATTTCAACAGTCCTCTGCCTGGCACATGTATATTCTCCACACAAAAAAGAGAGGGGAAAACAAGAGAATTAATGATGTTGTGAATTAAGTTGAACAAATATGTTTGTATGGGGAGGAGCAGGGGATGAGGTTTGTTTATTGCTAGGACATTTTATAGAAATTTCCCAGAGAACCTTTTTCAGGCTTGCAATCAGTGTTCATTATTTGTATTAGGGTAGTACCTATGGGCCCCAATTCAGATCAGAGCCCTATTGTTAGACCCCGTATGTAGATAGAGCCTGCCCTGAAGAGCTTTCAGTCTAAATGAACAAGACAAAAGGGGTGGAAGAAGGGGAGACCTGAGGCTCAGCAAGGTTTTGACTAGCCCAAGTTCATACAGAGTTGGGAATAAAATACGGGAGTCCTGACTCCCGGTCCTCTGTTTAAAGCACACCTCCTTCGGTTTAGAAACGAGTGTGATATACCTCCTGCAAATTAAATGGATACAAATTGACTGTAGATGTTAGTCCTATAAAAATTATACTTACTTTAACTTTCATTCAAGTGTTCACATTTTGAAAGGCTTGTATGTTTGCATGGAGCTGTTCGGAGTTTCCATGAGTGACATAAGAAGCAGTGTTGTAATTCTCCTCCTTCCGTTGTGCATACACAGCCTTGTCTGTCAGTTGCGTAAGAGGCTGATTACTTGTCTCAAGGTCACAGGACCCCCAGAGCAGATGGCAGAGGTGAAATTGACTTTGAATGTCCTGCCTACTTAAGCACAGACAGCCGTTTGTTACATATGATAAAAATCTCACTAACGAGGGTAATAATTTAACATGCTTTTTGGCAAATGCGGTTAGCAGGATGTGACATGATGCGGCACTGTCTTCTTCCTCTATGTGCCATGTCCCTTGAGGCCTGATCCTCTCTGCATCCCCCCTCCTCCCTGTGCCCGGGCTTGCCTTCCAGCTCACCTGCTCCAGATGGGCAGCACAGTGGGGAGGACACTGGCAAAGGCAGATGTGTTTATTTACCGGAGACAAAATGTTGTGCTGCTGCAGATGGCAATGCCCCCGAGCAAATGGCGCACTTTGACACCACTGTCACACTACAGGGATCTCTGTACTGTAGGGAGAACACTATCATCTTTTGAAACTTAGCACTTAGTGCTTGTATGAAAGTGCGGCGCTTTCAACACGAAGCTACAAACATTGGCATCAGAAAGTTGTATTCTTTGCTCAGTCACTTGTCAGATGTTTGTTATATTTCTGTACCTGTTCTGACCCAATTAGAATCAATAAAAATATAGCCAGTAGTGCTTTGTACAAAGAAATCATTCACATGGGACTCTGGAAGTCTATTAATTTAATACTGTTGGTTATATTATGTTTTATGGCTATATATGCCAAGCTAAATTATATTTTGTGGGGAAGGGAAGAGGAGGGGACTAGGTTGTTTACCTACAGGTTTAAATATATATATTTTCATCTTGATTCACAGTAAGGTGTGGAAAGTTCCCTGCAAGTTGAGTTGAGCCTAGACCCTTGGCTAATAGCAGCTAATACTTGGCCAGGCCAATATGAAAAGGTTTTTTAAGGTAACCAAGAATGGAATGTGTAAACCAATTTGCCTTGCCCAAACCCAATTTATTTCTTAATACTCTATTTTGGAAAGTCACTTATGACTGAACCTGAGTGGCATGTGGCTTCTGCTCTATACTGACACAAGTGGACACTTTAAACTCGGGATCATGTATATGCACAGATTATGTAGGTCTGGCAATGGTAAATGTTACCTTAGTGGGCTGAACACCTGAAACTAGAGTTTTATAAAGATTGATGACTCTGCCAAACTCTGATTAGTCCTCTAAATTTGGGGGCAGGGGAGCAGGCAAGTTAGAAAACATCCCCTAATTTGTATTTTGGTATTACCTTACTCCAACTTTTGGGTGTAGTTCCTCCATGATCCCTTCTGTCTTTCCTTTCACTTGTACCCTCAAAAGTCCTACCTTTTATGTTGGGCTGGCCTTTAGGAAGAGCCAGGCTATAGAATCACTCTCCTGTTTCAGTAATGCTGTGCTATACTGGTTTAAATTAACTAGAATTTTTTTTAACTTGCTGTTTTGCCCATCACAGTGCTGATACAGTTATGAGTTTTCAGGTGTAAATCCCCTCTCTCAGGAGGATTGTATGTGAGAAGGTGTTGCTTTCTCACTCCTAGCGAGTGTGTGCTACCCAGTTAGGTGCCTGCTGAGATCAGAAATCCCTGTTTCTGTGCTAAATAGTCCCATTGGAAGTATAGTGATATTATATCAAAGATTTTGGCTTTGTAAAAAGACCCTGTAGGTCTACTCCATCCCTAATTTTTCTGAATATCTACTTGTTAAGGAGTTTCACACTAACCCCACACAACTGTCTTAAATCTATAACTTTAGCTCTAAAACCCATAGATAATTTTTCTAATCAGGTTATCTTCAGAATAAACACCATTTGTTTTAGTTATTGAGAATCTGATAACGGAAACTGTTTGTCTTAATACCTATGATTTGGCATTGGTGACTTAAATCCAGAACACTTCTTAACACTATCCGCTTCTTTCCAAATAGGTTGCAAAATGGCTCTGTGCCAAAAGGTGCTTGGGCCCCATTCACATGTATCTGGGATACTTCAATTATTGGGTTTGTTCTGGCTAACCAGTGTTACAAGGTACAAGTCTGAACAGGAAGAAAGTTGAGTATGAGCAGGACTTTTGGGCGTTT